ATGAAAGAACATACAGATAATAAATTGATGAGGAAATATAAAGAAAATAACTTCATTCATCCAAAAAAAGGAAAGGAAAGGAATATAGACAGGTGGAACTAATAAAAAACAATTATTTAGATGGTAGATTTAAACCCAACTACATCAATAATTACATTACGTATAGAAGACAAAATACTGCAATGAAAAGACAAAGATTATCAGGCAGGATAAAAGCACAAAATCTGCTGTATGTGCTTTATAAGAGACGCCTTTTAAATATAAAGGTACAGAAATGTTGAAAGTAAAAGAACAGAAAACAATATGCCATGCAAACACTAAATAAAAGAAAATTGGTGTCAGTACACTGATACCTGACAAAATAGACTAAGAAGCATAATAGATGTAAGAAGGAGCATTTCATAATGATAAAAGACTCAATTCATCAGAGAGATATAAAAATTTTAGATTTGTATGTACTTAATATATCATCAATATATAAAGCAAAAACTGTAGAACAAAAAGGAGAGAAAGACAAATCTATAAACAGTGGAATTTGAACACACTTCTCTCAGGAACTGACTAAACAAACAGATAAACAAACTATGAGACATCCATACAATGAAACACTACTCAGAAATAAAAAGAATGAGTATCAAGCCATGAAAAGATATGGAGGAATCATAAATGCATGTTGCTAAATGGAAGAAGCCAGTATGAAAATGGTACATATAGTAAGATTCCAATTACGTGACGTTCTGGAAAATGTCAAACTATAGGCACAGTAAAGTGATCAGTGGTTGCCAGGGATCAGGGGGAGAGGAGAAGAATGAACAGGTGAAGCAGAGGGGACTTTTAGGGTAATAAAGTTATTGTAATGTAAATTCTTAGGGCAGTAAAACTACTGTAATGGTGGATACAAGATACGCATTTGTCAAAACCTATAGAACAAAGCATGAATTTTAGTGAATGCAGGTTTTAAAAAATCATTTAAGAGGTTGGAGATCCCAGGAAGGAAGGCAGACTGTGACAAGATAATTTAATTCCATTACAAAAGTATGAAACAACCTCACTGAAGGGGATGGGTAGGTGACGGGGAGATGCTGACCTAAGATTCTTAGGAAATGAGTGAGATCTACAAGATTAAAGGCAAAAGGAACTGCATATGAGCACTGTACTCTAGTTGATCAAGTTGTTTCCCACGGGGTACTGGTTAACAATTCTATACTGCTATATATTTATATTGGAATAGAACAATTATGTGAATGGGTGGCAGATGGTGGGAGCCAGGTTTCTCACCATTGGAGTGGGAGTTTATCGATAAGCAAGGGGAGGAAGCTAGAATGATCCATGTAGTAATGGATTAAAGTTGAAGATATCAGTATGAACTCGTACTGATCATTAAATATAGATACAGGTGGTTACATATACAAGTATTTGTGGATGAGTATATATACACAATTCAGTATAAATATGTATATTTTTTGCTCTGTCTTCTGATAGGGCCTGCAGGAAGTGACATCCCAGTGACAACAAGCAAGCCTAGCACCCAGATCTTGGTTTCTAATACTGTTCTCCAATAAAAGGAACCAGGGCTCCTTGGAGAAATGGCTGATGCTAGGACTGTGCAGGAAATATACAAGATGAGCCTAGAGAGTCTCGTAGTCCCGAAAAGTAAGGAAGTGCTCAAAACAAGACAAAACAAAACACTGATGGGGTATATCAAAGGAGCACAGGAATCAACCGAAAGAATTCCCAATGGCCAAAGCTAGAACCTCTGAGCGATAAAATAAAGTAGTATTGGATTATCACCCAAAGTATGAAGTAAATATCCATGAGTATGTACTGATATAAAAACGATTGAATAAACTAATAAATAGGGAAGAAGAGACAAATCTGCCAAGCAGAGAAATTCCAAATAATTTAAGTAGATACTCTGCCTCCAAGAAGAGGGAGTAAAACTCCCCACTCGGTAAGTGAGGGCTGTGCCTAATGACTTCCTTCCAAAGTGTACAATGCGGAAAGGGAGAGAAAAAGAGTAACTTTACAGTGGAGAAACCTGACAAATACTACCTCAGGCAGGTGACCAAGGCCATCATCAATAGCCGTAAATCATGTGGTATGTACACTTGCTATGATGTGATGAAAATAGCACTTCTTCTCTGTAGTCTTCCTCCCAACAACCTGTAACCCAGTCTTATCATGAGAAAAACATTAGCCAAATCTCAGTAGTGGGGCATCCCACAAAATACCTGGCCCGTCCTCCCCAAAACTCCCAAGGGCATCAAAAAAGAGAAAGTCTGATTTCGCACATATGTGGAAGATAAACAAACACATGGATAAAGAGAACAGATTAGTGGTTACCAGAGGGGAAGGGGGTGAGCAGGTGGGCAAAAGGGGTAAGAGGGCACATATGTATGGTGACAGATAAAAGCTACACTATTTGTGGTGAGCACGATGCAGGCTATACAGAAACAGACATATCATAATGTACACCTGAAGTTACACAATGTTATAAACCAATGTGACCTCAATAAAATTTTTTAAAAAAAGGGAAAATCTGAGAAACTACCACGGCCACAAGGAGCCTAAAGAGACATGAAAACGAAACGTAATGTGGGCTCCTGCAACAGAAAAGAAGGACATTAGTTAAAGACAAAGAAAATAGAAGTGAATTATGAACTTTTGGTAATAATGTATCAATATTGGTTTATTAATTGTAACAAATGTGCTGTATTAATGTAAGAGGTCAATAATAGGAGATACTGGGTGTGAGGTATGTGGGAACTCTCTGTACTCTCTTCTCGATTTTTCTGAAAGTCTAAAACTGTCCTAAAAAATAAAGTCTATTTTTAAAAATTTTAAATGAACAAACTACTTCTACACCAAGAAACAGAGATGAATCTCTCGAGTATAAAGTCGAGCAAAAGAAGCCAGACACAAGTCTACAAATTCTGTGATTCCTTCCATGTAGGGTTTTCAAACTGGCAACTGTGGTATGAGAAGTTAGGAAAGTGTTTCCTTTGGGGGGATGGAGCAGATGGTGACCAGATGATGTCACGTGAGGGGCTTCTGGTGTGTAATTGACACTGTATTTCTTGATCCAGTTGTGGTTACATGGTATGTTCACTTTATGAAAATTAATTGAGCTGACACTCATTATTTGTGCACTGTTCTATACATTGTAATAAACTTCAATGATGAAAAGAAAACAAGAAGGCATGAAGAGTGAATCAGAACGTGTATCCACATGGATAAAAGGGATCAAGAAGTAAAAACTTCCAGTTATAAAATAAATAAGTCACAGGGATGTAATGTACCACGTAGGGAGTGTAGTCAATAATATTCTAATAACGTTGCATGGTGACAGATGGTAACTAAACTTGGTGTGTTGATCACTTTGTAATGTATCAAAATATCAAATACTATGTTGTACACCTGAAACTAATTTAATATTATATGTCAATTATACTTCAATTAAAAAATACATATATAAACAATGTTAAAATTTTAAAATTAATTTGTCAAATAATACCTAAAATATACCAATTTTAAAATTTTACCATTGGTAAAACAAACTATACCTTGCTTATGGACTTACAAAATTTAGTCTAAATACATAAAAACACACATGAGATTATAAATACCAAATTCATGATAGCAGTTACCTCTGCAGAGGGAGGAAGGGAAATGAAATCAAGGAGAGGGGGTTAGAGGGTCCCACATGTACCTACAATGTTTTATATGTATATATGTAAAATATTGGGAGCACATATTGCAAAATATAAAGTTGTGATACAATTAGGTTCAGCTACACAGGTAATCATGATGTTACTCTCTATTCTTTTTCCTAGTTTTGAGATATACATGTATATTTGTATGTACTTATATATACACATACATGCACACACACATATCTATAAGAATATGTAACAAATACTATATAGAACAATAACAGCCTAGGAGAATTAACAGGTATTTTGTGGTCAATACTTGGCCTCCATGTTGCTGAGGATAAATGGATCCATTGATCCTTTGTAATATGGAAATTCTTGGCATCTTTTTTATCAAGTGGAGTTCTAACTCGAAGACTAACGACCTTTGCATTTCACCAGCCCCTTGTTAACATCATATCTTTCATGAAACGTAATCTCAAAGTTTCCTGGAAGATAAATTACGTCTGCTGAAAAGCCTCTTTAGAACCACTGGGAACAGTCAGATGTTGGAGGTCAGTGAGAAACCAGTCCAGTTGCTCATTCATTAGCTCCGAGGCATGAACTCAGCACCCATATGGTCCGTGTGCGATATTACGGGGCTTGAACTAGGCTGGCTGCAGAGGAGAGAGAGAAACATACAGATCTGAGAAAGGACTTGAGGCACAGGTGTCAGAAGTCGCCGAATGGCTCTGAATAATGTGACAGGGCCCAGGAGGGGACAAGAGGAATCCAGGAAGTCAGCTAGGGTTACTTGAGCAGCTGTGTGGAGACTGGTGCCATTAACTGAGATGAGGAGGGTGGCGGTGAAAATCAAGAAGTTTGTCTTTTGAACATGTGAAGTTTGGGGTGCCTTTCAAAGTCCATGTGTAGAAGTGGACGGTTGTATGTTGAATCCGGAGCTCAGAGAGGAGGCAGGCTGGAGACATACACTTGGGTGTCATCAGCATATTGATGGTACTTAATGCCGGGGGGCTTGTTGAGACCTCCCCTGGAGAAAGGGCAGTTAGAGTAGAGAGTCTGAGGATCAAGTCTTGAGACACTCCAGGGGTTAGAGTTTCACAGATGAGTGTGCAAATAAATGAAGACCAACCAAATGAGAAAAATAAAGTCTACTTATTCAGAGCTGGCTGTAGCAAGGGACTCGGCCACCATCACTGGCATCTTGGCAGAGATGCAAGGGCAGGCAGAGGAGTGAGAAAGCTTCATAGTGGAAAAAAGGGAAGGCTTCAGGTGTCCTGATTGGAGGCTGTGGGCCTGGGGAAGCTGTAGACAGCCAACTAGAAGGAGAGCATCCTATATGATTGGTTTGGGGAGCATATTTGGCTTTCTCTGGTTGGTTGTAAGTTGGGAGCAGGGACAAAAATTGGGGAAGCTGTCACTTATTAATCAAGTCCTGGCCATTTGGGGCTGATTGTTATAGAAGTTGTTGATTAGCTTCCATATTGTTATTAGAGATAGCAGCCTGGCTTCTGACATGCCTGACTCATGGCAGGCTGGCTTCCTGAGCTGGTTACTGTAGATAAGAGGTTGGTTTCCTGGGCAGGTTGCTGCAGATTATGAGTCAGAGTTCTATTTTTATACCTGATATGGCCATTGTCCATTTGTTTATTCAGTCTCTCAGGAGAATAAAGGAGGAAAGGAGACTGAGGAGGAACAGCTAGAGGGAATATCATCCTAGAAGTCAGGAAAATAAAATGTCTCAAAAAGGAGGGGTTGGTTCCCTCTGGCCAATGTTGCTGAAATGTCTGATAAGATGAGGATGCAAAGTAGGTCAAGGTTTTCCAGATAAAAAAGAGATGCAACCATCATTCTTGTTGGATTCTCAAGCGTGAGAAACATTTTCCTATGGCAATGGTGGAAAAGGAACTAACAGGCTGAGTTAGGAAGAAAAGAAACTTTCGGTCCCTGTAGGGAGCACATTACATCACAGTTAAGGACTGAACAGCAAATACTGTCCCCTACTGGGAAGAAGCAATTTCCAGCCCAGCACTGGATTCCGTGATTGGTTAGATGGCACCACCTGAGATTGTGATTGACCCGAAACTCATGTCCAGGCCTTTAGCCGCACACCAAAGGCTGTAATATTCCATCTTAGGGAATTCTATTATTAAGTAGACTGGGAAATAGCTCATTCTCCTTCTCAGACAGTTAGGAATGGGCAGAAGAATACTGAAGACAGCAATCCTTGAGTTTAATCCCAGTATTGCATCCCAGGAACTTTGAATCAGCCATAAGAATGTTAACCATGAGCAGAAATTGTTTAACGATACTTGTTATTATCTTGAATTTGGTTTTCCTTTACTTAAGTAATGTAACCATGTTACAAAAATTTGTAAATAGAGTTTAGTTAAAAGTTATCCAGAATCTCTCTCCCCTTCCACTGCCCTGTTAGAATGACCTTCCACTTAAATTCATCTGTGATGAGTGATGCAAGCAGATGTTTCTGGCCCCTCATGAGAGGACATTTGCGAAACTTCTTGGTGTGAACATTAGCTCCTGTTCTTCCGGAAACTGACTTAAAGACTGCAGAAACCTAAGAGCAGAGAGAAGTGGAAAAGGACGACCTTGAGCGATGGTGAGCGAGGTCGAAGCCCCTTTTTAATCCTTCTCAGACTCTTTCCCTTCTTCCTAGGCCTCTTGCCCCCACCAAGCCCAGGCCCAGACGGCTCTCACCTGTATCACCCAGCAATGTCCTCCCAGTCTCCAGCTTTGCTCGTCTCCTGTGTGCCCTCCACATGGCTGCCAGAGGATATTTCAAAATCCCCAATCTTACTATCCCTCTCCCTACAAAGTTTCACAGGCCTCCCCTTGCTCACAGACTCCAGTCCAGACTCCCTGGTAATACACAAAAGATTCCTCCACGTTCTGCCTCCTGCCAGAAGTTTCCACCTTTGGCTACACTTTAGAATCCTGGGAGCTTTAAAAACTGCCCAGTGGTTCTGGTTTAATCAGTCTGGGGAGGGTCCCAGGTATCTGGATTTTTAGTTCAGTTCCCCATGACCTGCTGATACCTTCTTGAACTATTTGCAGATTCTGGTGGCTCAAAAATCGGAAGGACTTTTGTGTTTCCAACGTCAGTCCATTGCAGCAAATAGTGGATTTCAGATAGAGAGACAGGGGTGGGGATGAGGAAAGAAGATGAGGGAACCTGGATCCGATAGGGCGTTTGTGAGAGCTCAGGAGACAGCAGGTCCAGGACTGGCCAGTGGCCCAGGAAGTGGAGCAGCCAGCGAACAGGAAAAGGAGGGCTGGCCTGCCTGGACCACAGAAGCTCTTCTAGCCCTGGGCTTGGGGGACCTTTCTCCCAGGAGGATCTGCCCCTCAGTGGGTCCTCAACTGCTCCTTAATTTCCTAGGCAGTGGAAGGGTAAATACAAATAAAAAGAAGCAGGATTTTCCCTAATGCCAAAAGGGAAAGAGTACTCCCTCTCTCTCTTTTCTTAGAGTATTTCATTTAGAATCCTTTCTCTGTTTCTTTGGGATGTGTGTCAATCTTTCAAAAAGCTAAATAAGCCGTCTATCAGTTTTGCTTCCCAGGAATGTCTTTCTTAGGGGCATTGGGGTCATCTCTTTGAAATGTGAACATGAAGGTGGATAGCATCCTGTCTCCCTGTCTCTCTGCAAGGTTAGCAATGGTGCCTGGCTCAAAGTTGTAACCTCCTGCTTATTAAAAAAGATATGAGAATTTTAATTATCCTTACAATTAGGCATTTCAACTGCTTGCCAACTTCTGCTATGGGGCGGATGAGGGAGGCAAGACTTTGGGGGACATCACTCAAGTGTCGTCCACCCTTGGCCCAAAGCTACAGGACTTGTTCTGGCTTGCCACTGCTGTCTCCTGCTTTAGCAAGGGTGAGATTAAGCAAGTGTAAATGCCAGGTAAGAAGCTGCCCTCGTGTGGAAGTTGGACTGCCCCGTAAGCACAAAAGAGCTCAGAAGAGTAGAAGAGTGGAAGGCCATCTCAAGTCTCATGCAAGAAGGATCAAGGACTCTACTTACGTACATATCACAGCAGAGAGTAGGACCAGGCAAGACAAGATAATTCACTATAATAAGTTACTGGCCAGAGGAAAAAATGATAGAAAAAGGGCCCCCACATTCTTAAACACAGAAACGGTCTGCTCCAGGCAGAGATGAGAGCAACTACCTACATAGAGCTTGACGACTGCTGCTCATAGCTCCGCTGGGAATGGGGAAGGGGATTCTAGCAGGAAGTAGGGACAGGACCCATTGGTCTGGGAGGACACTCCCATCCCCAGGTCTCAACTCTTGTTATTGTCCTAGAGGTAGATATCCAACTATCTGAGAAAGAGGATGAGATCATCCCATGGGTTTCCGGGCCCACAAGTAGGATTAGAGGACCCTGAGAGAAGGATGGAGGTGGATGAGAAGGTTTAGTCTCTGGGTCCAAGAGGCATGGTTGGTGAGTGTGTGGGAATATTAACCAGCAGAGCCTGGGGGTGGAAGGGTTGGTAGACAGAAGAAAGCTCTAAGTATGTAGGGTCCTTGCCAGGGCCCCAAGTACAGGCCCAGACTTGAGAACCTACTCCTGAACTATGATCTCATCCCCAGCAGGATGGAGCGTCCATGACTCCTACAGGATAAAGACAGCATCTGTTAATTTCTGGTTAAAGCACACCTCAGCTACACTCTGGACTCCAGAAACAATGAGCTCCATAATAACCCCAAATCTCTGAACCCTGGAGGTCTGTAGATCCCAAGGTGGGCCTTGGCCTTGGTGTTATCACCAACCAGTGGGTGTGGACCTGGAGGTCTCATACCTTGGTAAGAGTAGGAATGTTGATGTCCTGGGAATGGGGGACAGACTAGATGAACACTCCATTTCTGCATGCGTTTGCTGTTGTACCAACAACACTGTCTAAAGCACCTTTCCTCTTTTGGTCCACGTGGCAGAGTCCTTCCCATCTGTCGAGAATCAGGCCCCATGGCTTAGTGGTTAAGTGCTCATGCTCCACTACTGGCAGCCCAGATTAGGATCTGGTCACGCACTGACGCACCGTTTGTCCAGCCATCCTGAGGCAGCGTCCCACATACAGCAACTAGCATGATGTGCAACTACCACATACAACTATCTACTGGGGCTTTGGGGAGAAAAAAAAAAGGGAAAAAAAACCGAGGAGGATCGGCAATAGATGTTAGCTCAGGGCCAGTCTTCCTCAGCAAAAAAGAGGAGGATTGGCATGGATGTTAGCTCAGGGCTGATCTTCCTCACACACACAAAAAAGAATCAGCATTAATACCACCTTGCTTAGGAACCTTTCTTGGGATCCCTTAGATAGGAAGGCCCAATCCTTCCTCTTGCACTCAATCCTGGCTGGATTATCAGGACTTTGCTTCGCCTTTCTCCCTAGCATTTAACACTGTTTTGGGCACCTGGCAGCTACTCAATAACAGTTCAGAGAATGAATGAATGAATGAATGAATTCAAGAGGTGAAGAAGCTGGCTTGAGGGTAATTCGTCCATTTGACAAAATCATCCAGCTTGTTAGTTTCTCATCTCTTTGCACCAACCAGGGATAACGACCAAAACCCAGGTTGATTTTTTCATCCCAGGACACGTCCTGCCTTTTATATGGGTGTAGACTTACCTTGGAGTTCTTGCTGTTGGTCCCTCCTGATCGTCTCTAGTGCCTACCTGGATGGAGCTCCCCGTGTGCCATGATTAGGAAAGCCTGTCCCCACCCCACTCCCTGCACTCTTTCACCTGATCCCATCTGGTGACTTGACCTACCGGTCCCTCCATCAGTCAACAAGAGTGCATTGAGGACCTACTGTCGATTATTCTTTCCTGACATGTGTGAAGTGCAAAGAGATGCTCAGGGCACTGGCCTGAGACTGGAATTCAGCCAAGGCTGTAACGACACATGATCAGAAGTCACAATATTCCTTATTAAGCCACAGCAGTTTCTCTTAAGAAGCACGGCTCTAGAATATCTGAGCTTTACATATAAATCTTGCTATGGCGACCCTCAGGCATGGGTGAGTTTCTCATCTTCCAAAGGCTCCTTCTTCTCTAGAAAACCATCTGTTTTACTTTAAGGGACATAGATCCTCATGAATAGTGGGCTCTTTGGGGGTCCAGAATTTCAACGTATGCCACCAAACCCTTTTCTTCCTTCTGAAATTTTGGAGGAGCTCCTCATCTTGTGAATTTGTAGCACTTCAAAGCAGTAAACACGCACTTTCAAACACATGTAAATACTAACAGCTATCCACTAGTAAGCCCCTCCCATGTGCCAGTTACACAGATGTAGGAAGGTGGAGAAATCTTCATCTAAGCAGCTGGTGCAAGAAGTCCTGCCTTTGTCAAGTTTGCCACTTGTGGAAGATCCCGAGCCCCTGGGCCCTTGTGTTGACTGGCACGGGGCCTTCAGAGGAAGAGGGAAGCCCCCCTATGTAGAGGAGGGAGAAGAGTTTGGATCTGGGTGTGCATTTGGGGTGGGTGGGATTCAGGAGGGCAGAGGAGGAGGAAGACAGAGAGGGAGAGTGAGATGGTAGAATGTTCTGAAAAATGAGGCTCCTCCTCTGAGACCAAAACAAGTGGCCAATTAAGTAGAGGAAATGACGCTCAACGTCACTAATCATCAGGGAAATGCAAATGCACACCACAGTGAGATACCACTTCATACTCACTAGGACGACCAGAGTGAAAACATCAGATAACAGTAAGCGTTGGAGAGGATGTGGAGAAATTGGAATCCTCATACACTCCCAGTGGGCATGTACAATGGTTCAGCTGCTTTGGAAAACCGTCTGGCAGTTCTTCAAATGATTAAATACAGAGTTACCATACGCCCCAGCAATTCTACTCCTAGATATATACTCAAGAGAAATGAAAACAATATGTCCACACAGAAACTTACACACATGTTCATAGCAGCATTATTCATCATAGCCAAAAAGTAGAAACAACACAAATGACCATCAGCTGATTAACGGATAAAAGAAATGTGGTATATCTATACAATGGAATATTATTTAGCCATAAAAAGGAATGAGGTACTGATATATGTCACAATGTGATACTCATAAATGTCATAAAAGTGAAAGAAGCCAGTCACAGAAGATCCCATGTGATATGATTCCATTCACATGCAAGTCCAGAGTAGGGAAATCTATAGAAACAGAAAGTAGATTCGTGGTTGGTTAGGGCTGGGCTAGGGGTGGTGGTGGGGAGCTCTGGGGTTGGAGCACAGGGCACATGTTCTAAAGAAAGAAGAGAGAATGACCAGGACTTGAGAAGTGAACGAAGTGGGGGACAAGGAAAGAGGGGACCGCTTCCATGGTGCTAGCCTGAGTTACTGGATGGACTGGGTGGACTGAAATCTGGAAACGTGGAAGGGAAATGGACATGCCCAGATGGAGTTCCTGAGAGAGGCTGGGCGGAAGAGTGTGAAGAGAAGCAGGGTCTGGGCCCTCACGAGCATGCCAAGACTTCTTTCTCAAAGAAGAAAAGCACATCTCTAACGGTGACAGAAATAAACACGCATCAGTGTGTCAGCCTCGAATATCTTTCTTGGAGGAATTAAATGATGACTAGGGATGGGGTATCCCAGAATCTCCCTTGCCTGGGAGAGGACCTAAGTCAGTGATGACAACGAAGCTTTGAGCAGGTAATATTCGGCTTAATACAACGCCTTCCCTTAAAACTCCGGCACATCACAAGCCATGGGAGAGGTGGGAGGGCCTGGTGGGAGGGCCACCGGTGACTTACCAGCTTCGGCATGCATCTGAAAAATTTTAAAGACACCTCCTCTGGCTTTTAGAATGTTTTTTAGAACAGGAGCTGTGCCTAATGACACCACCACGTGGAATTACACACCACCTTTCTTTGTAGTCACACAAAGAAACTAACACGTTGCTTCAGGTCTAGGTTAGCTAATCTGCTTAAGTCATGCTTTTGGTGTTTCTGGAAGAACATCTATGAGGTAAGTCTCTCTTGAAAGGCTTCAGAATAATCAAGCATTAGGACAGAATATATTTTTTAAAACACGGGAAATATGCAAAGAGTGAGGAAGGAGTCACTGGACAGCTTTATTAAAATATCCACAGAAGTGAATATAAATGATAAAAAATGCAATACAGCTAGAAGACTTTCTTCATCCTTTTTTATTGACATACAAGTATATTCACCCAAGTGTTCTTCTTGTACATAGAGAGAATTAGGTTGTTTTCTTTACTGCAGCACTAGTCTGAAGTGTTTATGCTTCGCTAATGGTGCAAAATTAGCTGAGAGAAGATTTAAACTGGAGTTTTAATTATCTACGGGAGTAATAAATCACCCCAAAACTTAGTGGAGTAAAACAACCACCATTGCATTCTTTCAGACCCCACTGTGGATTGCCTGGCCTCAGCTGGCAGTTCCTCTGCTCCATCAGGTTGGCTGGGGCTACAGTCTCTGAGGGCTCTATTTTTCTAGAACATTCTAAGATGGCTTCTTTGTTCACATGGCTGGTATCTTGGTGCTCCTGTGGCCTTTCTCTCCACGGAGGGTCTCATCCTCCAGGGCCTCTCCGTGTGGCCTCTCTCCACAGGAGGTAGTTGGACTACTTACATGGCAGCTGGCTGCCAAGAGGGCAGAAGCAGAAGCTTCCAGGTCTTCTCAGGCCCAGAACAGACAGTGTCATTTCCACCACGTTCTGTTGGTTAAATTGAGTCTTAGGGCCAATCCAGACTCAGTGTGGGAGCAGACTTCGCCAGGGCATGAATGCTGGCAAGTGTGGCTCCTTGGGGGCCATCTTTGCACACTGGCTGCCACACCCACAGTGCTAGAGAGGCTGTGTAGCGTAGTGGTTAGAGCAACAGCTCTGGAGTCAGACAAATATGGGTGGAAATTTTGTCTCAACCGCTTTCTGCCAGTAGCGGGAGATGTGACAATGTGATGCAAGACATAAAATCAGACTCTATATGTGCTGCCTTGACATCTGGTGGAATTGGGAGGGCCTTGAATGGCTTAACTGCAAGTTCCCCTCCTGACTCTGCTTCCCTGGATAAGGTCCCCCAGCCAAACAACCCTCCTAATCAAGGGGACCAGGCTCAGTTCTTGCTTATCCCTGAGCAGTGGGTTTCAGTTCCCGCCCAGCTAGTGGAATTATTCAAACAAGCCCATCACACCCTCCTGTGAGAACCAAGGGTCACTCCACCCTATTGTTACTACACAGCCTGCCTCCCACAGCCCCTAGTCGTTCACTCTGTTTCCGAGTGCAGCCCTTGTGTGGCCCCACGTGGCATGCAGTGTCCCCCTCCCTCTGGCTGTGAGTGTATGAGACTAATCAACTGCTATTGATCTCATGTGTCCGTTGTCGGGTGTTCACCATCCCCATAACCCTGGGGCAGAAATCTCCCCTCACCAACAGGGTGAAGAGGAGGTGATTAAAATAGACAACAGAAGCAAGCAAGGGTTTGGAGTGACACAAGGCAGGGGACACGAGCCAAGGAATGTGGGTGTCCTCTGGAAAAAGGCAAGGAAACAGATTCTCCCCTAGAGCCTCCAGAAGGAACACAGCCCTGCTGACACCTTTATTTTAGACTTCTGACTTCCAGAACTTATTAACTGACCTCCAGAATTTATTATCCAGAAGATAATAAATTTGTGTTGCATCACGGCACTAAGTTTGGGGTAATTTGTTACAGCAGCCATAGGAAACAGATACATCTGATGTATCTTCTTCATGGCATCTCTTACTATCTGAAATTATTTAATTCATTTGTTTATATGTTTCCAGTCTAATTCCTCTTACTAAGCTCTGTGAGAGTGGGCTCCACGTTGGTGCTTTTCATCTCTAGCTCTGCCAACAGTGTCTGGCACATCTAAATGCTCAATAAATACTTTTTAAATGAGCATTGAATGAAATATTGCAATATTGGCCTGTGTATGGCATTATCTGTGCTTCTAGTCTTTCACTAGTTCAAGTAGTCATGAGTAGCCTGATTTTTAAATCGTAGTAACTTTATTTTGCACATTTTACAAGAATGCTTTGTACCAAGAGTATCATACCCTTTAGAAAAAAACAAACCCACCCAAATTCATAGCTGTATCTTTTTGTAAAACCACCTAGGAAAGAGCTTACTAAAATATATCCATAAATGCATTGCTTAAAAAGGAGACAAGAAACCAGTGTTTAAATCAACATGGCATGAAGCCTGCAGGACAGGGATGGGGTGAGGAGACCTCAGGGCCATTTGGGGCTGACGGTCACAGGGGTGCATGGCCTGCCCAGGGGTGCTTATGCCCTTTGAGCCTGGCCCCGATGAAGAGGTCACACCTCCATATAGTTTTCTATCTCTGCACAACTAATTGCCACCAACATAGAAGTTTAAAACAGCACACATTTATCACCTCACAAATTTGGTCAGGAATCCACGTATGGCTTGGCTGGGTCCTCTGCTCAGGGTCTCTCACCAGGTGAGACCACCTTGAAATCAAGGTGTTAACCAGCCCTGCAGTCTCACCTGAGGCTCAGGGGCCTCTTCCAAACTCATGCAGTTGTTAGCTGAATTCATTTTCTTGCAGTTGTAGAACTGACATCCCCCTTTTCCAGCTGGCTGTTGGCCAGAGATTGCTCTCAGCTTCTAGAAGCTTCCATCAGGTCCCTGGCACACAGCCCTCCTCTCACAGGCAGCTCACTTCTTCCGGGCCAGCAGGAGAGCCCTATTGTGGCTTCTTGTCTCCTTCAAGAGTTCACCTGACTAGGTCAGGCCCACCCAGGATAATCTTCCTTCTGATTAACTCAGAGTCACCTGAGTAGGGCACTGAGTTCTACCTGTAAAATCCCTTTTGCCCTATAAAGTGATATAATCATGAGAGTGATACCCATCATAGTCACAAGTCTTGTCCACACTCTCTAACAGAGGGGTTTATGTAAGGCATGTTCATCTGCGGCAGGGGTGGGGATCTTGGGGGCATCTTTGCCATTCTGCCTACCCCAACCTCTCAACCCAAAAGGCCCAAACTCACAATGGCATTCTCACCAATCCCGTCCTCTCCCATCCCGGTGACACAGCCTCCAGCCGGGCTTCCGCCGAGTCCAGAGAACTCTCTGGAGACTGGGGATAAAGGAACTATCTCTTCAGACCAGGGATGCCAACCTGCTGAGCCCTCTTACCTTCTCCCACAGGGCCCTACGTGACCTGCTCAGGTCACCTCTCTGCCTGCCGTTCCATCCTCCCTGTAATGCCAGCCTCCGCCTCAGAACTTCTGTCGCCGCTGGTGCTGTATTTCTCTCCTCGCTGCTCTCTGAGTGTGCACCGCTCAATACAGGCAGCAGGGGGCGCTGCTGGCCTCGGCTGGTGGGCAGCCACAGAGGCTGAAGCTGTCACGTCCCAGGCCAGCTCATCTTCCGAGGTTCCCGGCTCCCTCCTGGTTGTCGGGACCCTGGCCCGGGGAGGAGGTAGGCTCTGCTTACGCCTGAGGTATCCTCTCTCCCCGCCTGCGTCTCTGCAGGGGAGTCAGGCCCTGCCCCGTCTGGGTGGCAGAGTGCATGAATGAGGGCTCCCATGGCCAGGCCCGTCAGCAGATGAGACGCCTCCCACTCTGTCCGGCATCTGGGCGTGGAGGTGAGGATAGTGGTGGGAGCTGAGGGGTCCCTAATGGAAGAGGGGCCTGTATTGCCCCTTCTCTTATCCCTTTCTCGTCTCTGAAGGCCCCCTCAAGCCCACTACAGTGTTCACATTATTGGCAGTAGGTTCTTGTCCTCAGGGCAGTCTCAGGAACTTGGCAGAACTCTTTCTAGTCTCTTCCTCCTGGGCACAGTTGCCCTAGGTGAGCCCCAGGCCACACCATTTTGTGTCCTTCACAACAGGCCCAGGGGCTGTATCCCAGGGCGTGCAGCCAGCTTACACAGGCCTGCACATGAGGCCCCTGAAGTCCCGCATGGCAGCAGTGTGAACTGGGACCCACTGGGTCAGCACTGCCCCCGTGCACGTGGGCCTTGTCTGGCGCCATGATTATCCTTCTGCACCACGCTCCCCTCTCTTTTGGAGGTGAGCAATCCTTTCTCCTCCTCCCATCTCCGTCAGCTTCTGTACTTAGAAGAAGTGGTGAGTGGGGCTCAAACTCACTTGCTCTGTGCTTAGAGCAAAGCTTGTCCCTCAAGGTGCCCTTCTCACATGGCCTGAGTCTTAGGATTCTCCCGATCAGGTGGACAGCCCATCGCCATGAATCTGTCTGCAT